CTCGATTATTTGTACTCAAATTAGAATTTGATATATTTTATTAATTAAAATATATTAAAATATAAAAACTCGATTAGACTTGTGAGTTACTTGTGTCGAATATAAAAATATTTGAACTCAACTCAATCGATAAATTAAGTTACTCGAGCTTGAGCTTGAGTTGATAATAATTGAATCGAATTCAATTTTTGTTCGTATTAAACTCGAATAACTTGTGAGTACTAATATATCATTTACACTCTTAATTAAGATTAGTTATTATTGTTTATAAGTATGAGAGCATTTTAACTATATTTTTTTTATTATAATGCTACAATTGTTTAATCATAATTAAGAATTTTGTTAGGATCTACCACTTATAAGAGTGGACTCCACATAATATTTTGTTAGAATCTATATAACTCTAAATCTGATTATTTAATTGTAGTACAATTATTGTAGGTGATATGTTTTCTATAAGTATGAGTTTCATATAAAATTTTGATCAATCTCACATGTATAATTAGGAATTGTAATTGATTAATTGTACTATAATAATTATAAATGATACGCATCCAATTTTGAGGGAAGAAAAATGTAGAAATTCACTCCTTTTCTTTCATATGAAACGAAAGAAATAATGAAAAGAAATATTTTTCTTTATTTTTTTCCTTCCTCTATCCTCCTACCAAACACAGTTTTAATGCCATGCATTTAAATGCAATCCCATAAAATGTGGACTTGCTTTTAATGTTCAACCTCTAAATAACGAGTGGATTTGCACACTTATAAGTAATAAAGTAATTATAATTTAAAATTGTGTGGGATCTATAAAAAATTTATGTGGAGATCATATTTATAAGCGGTAAATCTTTACATAATTTTTTATTGTTTTTAGACAATTATAATATTATAGTAAAAAGAATTGTAAATGATATACTCTCAATAAATTGTGTATAAATGTGAGAGTTTAGTTTTCATATAGTTAAGTAATATGATTTTGGATTTTTGGATTAATTAATTAATTTTCATTATTTTTCCGGTATACTTTTTAATTTTGATTTTAATTAATTGATAGAGTTGTAATATAGAATAAAAACCACTTAATTAGTTTTTGGAATGTCTTAAAATTATGTATTTTTTTTTTAACATTTAAAACTCTTACTTTTTATATTTAAAAATTATTTTTTATGTTTTTTTTTTTTAACTTTTTGACATTAAAAATTATGAAACTTTAGTTTTATAAAAAAAATTTAAAATTTAATATTAAATACATTAAAATCAAAATTTTTTTTCTTAAACTCTATAAAATTAATATATAACAAACATTTTGAGACGGAAGGAGTACCAAATATTCTCGTAAGCTTTATTTTTCAAGTCGTGGTAAGGTCCACCAAAGAATCATCAGCTTCATTAGGAATCTAATTTATTTTCATTTTTGGCATTCTTTTTATGTCTGTTTAGCTTAGTAATTAGATGTGTGACTTTCATTGAAATATTATAGAATGAAGTAATATATTTTGTGTTCATGTGTTTTTGAAATATTTTTATATTGATATTTAATTTGTATTGTTATACTATTGATATATTTTGTCTAACCTATTCATTAGCAATTTATCCATTTGCATCTAGTCGATTATACATCCAAAATTTATCTCTATTCAATCAAATCGGTTTTGGTGCAAAAAATTATCGACCAAATTAAAATATCAACGAAAATTAGCTTCGTTAATACCCACCTAAGGAATTCCATCAGTAGTTTCGAAAACCCTATCCCCTATTTTCCAATGTAAACGCATTGTAAATCTGTCAATAAAATCGACTTTTAGGGATAAAAATTTTCGCTAAAAGGCGTTCCTCTTGTGGTGGAAGTTATAAAAAAAAAAAAATTCATTAAAAATCTAATTGTTTCTTAAAAAATGACTTTTGAAAATTTTTTTTTTATATTATTTGTGTTTGTTTGATAATAAATTTACTGGTCTACAAAAAATATGACTATTTTCTTGAAAATTAACTTCCCCTTTTAATAATTAATATTATTTAGTATAATATTATTATTTTAATAATATGAATATATTTAATAATTTAAAAATATTTTCCAATCTAAAATGTATTATTTTTTATTTTGACAAATGTATTTATATTACTAATTTAATAATAAATATAATTAAATAATGTTTTGTTATGATTTAATAATAAATTCTTTTAATAAAAAATATAACTTTTTAATGTTTAAATATTTTTAAAATTTTAATAATAAGTAATATAATTTTAATATTATTATATTAATAGAAATAGTATTTTAGGAATAGTAATACTATTTTAAATAGTTTAAAATATTAATATAAATAACAAATAGTTTTATTTTAAGTGTTTAATATTAATATAATATTTTAATATTAATTATTATTTTAAAATATAACTATTTTTTAATATTAATAATTTTAATAATAAATCATTTTAATCAATAATAACTAATTTTTAATATTTTAATAGTTATGTCATTTTTTTTTTCAAAAAATAAATTTTCCGAAAAATAATAGAACAATAGAAAACATTGTTTATAAACTCATTCTAATAATAAAAAATCTTTAATTTTTTCAAAAATATAAATATCTTTCAAAAAATAATTTTTGACAGTCAAAACAAATGAAACCTTATAATCACAATCAATTAAAGTTCAACATATATAACCTAGTTATTTCAACCAACAAAAGAAATGAAAGAAACAAATCAAATATAATTAAAGGTAAGAAGTCTATTGTATGTCTCACCCGGGAGTATATCACTTACAATTACTGTAGTATAATTAATTAATTAATTATAATTCGGCATTACATGAGGTTTATCCAAAAAATTATGCAAAGCCCACATTTTTAAGTGATGAACCCCTACATAATTCCTGAATTTTATTAGCTAATTGTAATATTATATGAAGGAGAATTGTAGGTGATATAGATCCGTCTCACCTAGCCCATGGTTAATAGAACTCTTACCTATTAAAATTAAAGTTTGTAACTACTACATTGTTATTATACAAATTTTATACATTAACAATAAAATAGATGATGTCATTTTATTAATAAACAAATATAAACAATTAAAATAAATTAATTTTAAGCCTGTGTGATGCATGGATATGCAATTATATATATAACTCAATTATATATAATATAACTAATAAAATTTATATAAAAAATAAAAAAATTTAATGTAAAATAATGGAAAAATAAAAATAATGTAGATCAAGATGTACTTATATAATATAGAGAAAAAATGTTTTGTATCATATCTCATCTAACAGTAATATTTTATATGAAATTAAATAATGTTTGATTCTGAATGATAGAAATTTATTATACTTAAAATAAATTTTTATAGAAACTTTTGCTTGGTGTTGCCGTTTATTTTGGTGCAAGATATCTAGAACTCACAATAACAATAGCAAACCTTTGAATAGATAGTGTTCATCCTTACATTGTATTCACAAAAGTCAAAGTCGTTCAAATTGAATTTGCATTCTTTGATGAATGGGATTGAAACCATATATTACATATTAAACATGGATAAAACTATAAATGAAAGGTAAAATAGAAGAGCAAAAACTTGTACCAAATTCTAACAAACTCCAAAGTTAAAAAAAAAAATTCACCAAAATCTCTAAGGACTAAAAACTAAAAAGAGATAAAACATATGAAATTATTTCATTTAAAAGTTAAAAAAAAAAGCTAATATTAAAAATGAATGGATAAATAAAGTATAAATAAAAGAGACATAAAATCAATGATAAACATGACAAGAAAAAAGTTTATCAACATAAAAATACATATAACTTAGTCATCAAAATTTCCTTAATCATAATGAAATCAATACATTTGGAGGCTTTTGAAAATTAACCTCCTAGTACTCTTAGCATACATGATTCTATATTTATAATAAGAATTTGAGACTTTTATAAATTGAGAGTAATTTATGCAAAAAATTATAATGGATTATTAATTATTTATGTAATATATGTTTTATTTTAAAGTCTACACTATTTTGAAAAATTCTTGTAAGACAATAAATTGTACCAATTGTAATTAATACTTATATAGAAAGAAATATGAAAATACATTTCCAACTAATTGGACTTTTATTTTAGGTTTGAATTTTAGCATTATATGCCTTGTATATTTCATTTAGGTTAATAAATACATAAATTATTTTTTAATTAAATACTAAATTACGGTCATTAAATAGTCGATACTTTCAAAACATTTCAAAACATATTTCTTAGTTATATTATACATGTTTGATGTTTAAAATTAAGAATTGAATTTGGTTTAAAATGATTTAAGATAATTTAATTGTAACACATTTGTAAAAGGTTAGATTACTGAATATTTATATAAAAATAAATAACCTAATTTAGTCAAATAAATATCTTTTAAATTAATAAAATGTATATGAAGTCAAATCAAAATAATTAAATAAAGAACATGTAATGATTATTCAAAACAATCCACATATCAAAAAAATAGATTATTCACACTGAATTTTTTTTTATCAAAACTGTTGGTTTTTATATATTTATATAAAATATACAAAAATTTGATATTTTAAAAAAAATTTACTCATTAATGAAGTAATAATATTCGATTCACTTATAGTTTATTCATATAATACATCAAATATAAAGCTTTAAAATTAATAACTATTCTATAATAAATTAATAATAGGAATTATTGTCCTATGAGGACTATTCAAAAACTCTTTAATTAAGTGGCTGTATGTACTTTCCATGTGACTATTTAACTATAAGTAAAAATGAATAAGTTAACGAACTTAAATGGAAACATGGAAATTGAATGGTTGTGAAGGCATAAAAATTATTGTTTATTGTGATAAAGATCGTTCTCTGAACCATGGTTTATTTTGTTTTTAAATCAACAATAGAAGTATTGAAGAAATTTGTACCTACGGGGTTCTTGTCGTTTTATCGTTGCCCATACTGCTATATAAATCTATGTGAGGAAACTTTGGAATCACAAGAAAAACCAATAGCCAAAATTGTAGAAACCTCCCTAACCTAGTTACTTAAAACTATCACCGCTGGTACTGGACACAGTGCAGCTAATTGTCCACAAATGACGACAACTTTAGTGATTAAGAATTCGACTGATGGTGCAGCAAAGCTGTCCTCACATATGGATTGGGCAGGGTTTAAACCAGCCCCGCGCAAGATTCCGGTTGGATCGGACCAAATGTTTCTGCACGTTGCTGACAATCGAGGTTCAAGAGGAGCTGTTGTGTATGAAGTCAAGGATGGGTATCGGTGGCTTCTTGCCTGGGCCAACCAGCCGTCTGTCGACAACCAGGTATTGTATTGTATTTGTAACAAACAATAAATTAAACCAACGTACTCAGATCCTTTACAGCTTTGAAATAATCAAATCTATCTGCAGGTCTATACTAAGATTCTTAAAATCGGCGAGAAAATTAATTGGGATAACATCAGTAGCCAACTTGACCAAGGTACCTTCACCAGTAATCACTCTACCGCTGGATTCACCTCAACTGTTACGATTGATCTAACCGCTGGTTCGCCAACACTTAGGGCAGAACTCAATTATGATCGTCCGTCCTAAGTAAGCTGGCTTTGCTCGATGCATTTGCATGCGAGCAAACTGTGGTCGGAAGGCTGTCAAAAATAATAATGTGCTATGTGCACAACTAGTAATCTATTACTACTATCAAAATAAATAAATTTGACAGCAAGCTTCTTATGCGTGCTTAGTGTGCTTAGTGTGTGTAATGTACTACTGTGAAATATTTCAGATTATCCCCAGAATTAAGAAAGGCCTTGAAGCTCATGCCTCATGCCATGCGCTTATATACCTAGCTGTCTGTAATATTTCATCATAATATATAACGAATAATGCAAGGTCTTTATTTCATCTTTTTTAGTATAATGCTTGTGGGTCAACATATTTGTGGTCATTGTTCCTGTTTCGGAGCATTACCCATCAAGCTAAAAAAAAATTACAACATTTTCTGTGAAACCTTAATCATGGACATAGTATATAAATAACCATACACCAAGACCGGCTGCTCGATTCATGTTAATCATGGTATATTTTTAAATGTTTATGAAGTAAATGAAATTCTCCAAGGAATTAAAAAAAAAATTACAATTGACGAAATCTTTGAAAATTTTTTGGTGAAAAATTTTCTCAAAATCTTATCAAAAGTGTTGAGAAGATTTTTCAATAAAAAGAATTTTTACTTATTTTCTTAAACAATATTTAACAGTTAATTAGAGAATTTTTTTCTTTTCACATAAATCATGTAAAATTTTGACTAATATATGAAAATTTTTCGATAATGGAATTAAGAAAAAAAAACACACAAGTACTGATTTTTTCAAAATCTTTTAGGTGGAAAATTTTTTCAATATCTTATCAAGTGTTGGAAGGATTTTGGAAAAATTTCAATAAAAGGTATTTTTATTTATTTTCTCATAAAATTTAATGACTAATAAATTTTAATAGCAAATGAAGTTCTCCAATGTTGGGATTAAGAGAAGAACAAATGATGATTTTTTCAAAATTCATTCGTGAAGAATTTTTTTTCAAAATCATACTAAAAGTGTTTGGAGGAGTTTTGAGAACTGTTCAATAAAATAAGCTTTTATTTACTTTCTCATAAAAATTTAAAAATTTTCATAGGAAGTAAAATTTTCTAAATAAAATAAATCACAAATTTTGATTTTTTTAAAAAATTAATTTTAAGCTCGTGCGATGCATGGATATGCAATTATATAATATATATAACTAGATTATATATAATATAAGTAATAAATTTAATATAAAAAAATTTTAATGTAAAATAATAGAAAAATAAAATATTGTAGAACAATATGTACTTATATAATATAAAGAAAAATTATTTGTATCATATCACATCTAATAGTGATATTTATACAAAATTAAATAATATTTGATTCTAAACCATAACAATTTATTCCACTTAAAATCAATCATTTATAGAAACTTTTGGTTGGTGCACCCTTTGGTTAGGTGGAATACATCTAAAACTCACAATAACAATAGTTTGGTGGTGTTCATCCTTACATTGTATTCATCAAGATCAATGTAATTCAAATTAAATTTGCATTCTTTGGCGAATGGGATTGAACTATATATTACCTATTAAATACGAATAAAATTGTAAATGAAAGGTAAATAGGAGAGCAAAAATTTGTGCCAAATTCTAACAAACTCCAACCTTAATTAAAAAATCTCACATTGTTCACATCTATTATTAGTGATGAATAAAAATTTGACAAAATCTTCAACGACTAAAAATTAAAAATAGAGATAAAAGATATGAAATTATTCCATTCAAAAGTAAAAAAAAAAAGCTAATAATGAAAATGAATAGATAAATAGAGTATGAACATACATAAAAAAGTGAATAAAAAAGAAATAAAATCAACCAATAAATATGATAAAGAAAAAAGTTTATGAGCATAAAAAGACATGTAACTTGGTAATCAAAATTTTCTTGATCATAATGAAATCAATACATTTGGAAGATTTTGAAGAGTAATCTCTTAATACTTTTAGCACATAGGATTCTCTATTTATAGTAAGAATTTGAGAAATTTTTATAAATTGAGAGTAATTTATGCAAAAAATTATAATGGTTATTCATTATTTGTAGACATCAATTTTTGTCCAGATTGATAATTTTGTATTCTAAATAGTTCAGTTTTCGAATTTATTTTCAATTTTTATCAAATTGATTTAATATTAATAATTAAAGATAATAATTAGAAAAACAAAAAAAAAACAAAAAAAAAAAACAAAAAAATAGAAACAGAAAAAACAGAAGACCGGGGTGGCAGTGGTGTGTGCATGGCACCACTAGCCAATCACCATTCTGGTCACCTATACCCTACCAGCATTGCCACCCTTGTCCTGTCCCCTCACCATACCCTGTAAACCTTGTTTACCCTCTATTTACTAGAGCCAAAGCCTTAGACACTTAAAAGGCTAACCTCTTTGAGGCTCCTAGACCAAAGAGAGAAGGAGAGACCTTCAGACACTTTACTCTCGAATACACTAGAAACCCTAACCTTGGCCACCCCATCTAGCCACTACATTACCCTTAAACACCCAGAGACCCAAAGGCTCCTAACGATCACAAACCACAAGCTTTGGTCACCCAAAAACTGAACTTTCAAACTAAACCCCAAACCTCTAAACCCTAAAAATGAAACCATACACCCTCAAAACCCTAAAATCAAAACCCTAAATCTTTTAAACCCTAAAATCAAAATTTCAAACCTTAAACCCTAAAGTCAAAACCCAAAACCTCAAATCCTAAAATAAAAAATCTAAACTCCAAAATTTGAAACTTGAAACCTTAACTTTAAAATTCAAAATCCCAAACCTTAAAATCCAAAACCTTAAAATCCAAAATTCTAAAAACCCCAAATTTGGTATGCATTCTTGAATCATTGCCAAAAAATCATTCAAACTTTAAACCTCGACCTATACCCAAGTTAAAAACCATTCTGAAACATTAAGAATACGTACGAAAATCTCAAATGGAGTAATTTATTCTCAAATGCCACCTAGATGATGGGGTATTTAAGAAACTTTATTCCATTCATTTTTTTTCGCAAGTCCTTAATGCTCTTTAACAATAAATCTATAACTAAAAAATAAAAAGAATAATAATATAATAGGATCTTAAATATAAATAGTCATACCTAAACTTTGTCTAGATGTTGGAGAGTTAAGATGGCCTTGCTATATTTAAGGATCCGATTAGAGAATTGTATTTTACCATCATGCATAACACCTGTTGGCATACAGGTATATTTGCTATTGTTTGCAATTGCTTTGCATATTTATGCCTTTAATTTTTATTCACTACCTATTAATTCTATCACTCACTTTTTCACACAAAATGTTCTTTTTCAAAAAAAAAAAAAATAGAATACTTACTTTAAAAATGTGAAAATTTAAAATAAAACAAAAATAACATTCCAAAGAAAATAATTATTGGTACTCTACCTAGTTGTTGAAAAGTCATCAGTAATTATCTTTTGCAAAGGATGCTATTTTTATTTTCAAAGGATGTCATGGAAATTATCAGTCTAAAGTATTATTTTTAAAGTTCTGCCTAGATGTTGGAGAATTTTAAAATAACTCATTAACTTAGAGATTTCCTCAATATTCCTAAATAAAGAATTTTGATAAAATTAATCTTTTAAAAAAATAAAAGGGAATTTATATTATTAAATATCAAATTGAAACTATTTCATCCAACATTGAAAATAGTACATAATTAAATGGTACTAATTTATGAGCGTTTTGGGGGTACTAATCATTCCCTACACATAATCGACTCCCAAATCTAACCTGATTTTCGTAGACCAAAATTTATCTTTTTGATAAACTTTAAACCTGCTTTTATAGTTTTATTAAAAAGATAAACTTTTGGGAGACCAATCACACCCTAAAAAAATATTGGTGGCGACTCCCCTTTTATTTTTCTTGATTTTAAAATTCTTTACGTATGGTGATCCTAAAATCGTTACAATAGCTTGATGACTCTGCTGGGGATTTTTTAGAGTTGGGCCAAAACTTTAATTATGCACTATTGATAATTGTTGGATTTAATTTATTTTAGTTGATATTTAATTTAATTCTATTTTTTTAAATTTTTCAAAAATACATATATATAAGTTAATAAATAAATGAATTGTATGTTAGTTACTATTTTGTTTTGATTTTGTGCTTATCATTTATTTATGATACTTTGATTAACATATCACTTTACACACTTTGTATATGCATTGATGAGCTCTAAACCCGGGCTCCATCCCTTTAGGAGGAAGTGAAGTAGTTATGCTCTCGTGAGGTGTAACATTCACATTTGCTAGTGAAACACTTCTATTCAAATTGAACCCTTTTCGTTCATAGCTTGTAATGGGTCAGAGAATCGGAATGCTTTACTAGTCCAGTGTAGACGCCAGTGAGGAACAATTTAAGAACCTTTAGATGAATAAATTCTCACTCAGCATATAGTGAACCCTAGGGACCGACCTTTGATAGAGCACTGCCCTTTTGTAAAAATAATAAAAATGCATTTTCTTGAAGATTTTCTTTTCTTAACATATAGTTTATTCATTTGGTAATTGTCCAAAATTTGCATTTAAAAAAAAATTTTTAGAATAAAATGATTTTTTAGCATTATCCAACAAGCAACAAGCAAAAAAAAAAAAAAAAAAAGAGAAAAGCAAAAAAAAAACATTTTCAAAAGATTAAAGGGTTTTATCAAATTCTTTGTTTATTGGACAAATAAAGGTTAATTTTCAATTCCTAGTAATTTTGTGTGAAAAAAAATGTGCTTTTCTTTTTTCAAAAAATATTTTTTTTCTTTCTCTTTTTTCGAATATTGTTTTATCTTTCATATTTTCATCCAATCATTGATGTACCCCATCCCATTCTCATGATAATAATATAATACATGTATTTCATTCCATCCATATCAATGGATAGTACATGCATCCCATGTTATGCACATGTTGATAAATGATACATGCCTTCCATACGTATCTTAATAGGTAGTGCGCACACGCCATTTCATTACACATTTGAAGGTAATGTCAATTCATTAGGTTGACATAACACAAGCATTGTATTCCATGTAAAAATATAATGTGCAATCGATAGGATCATGCATTCCATACAAGTATGTTGCATTAGTCATAGGTATACATCTCATTATTCATATATGTATGTCATCACATTTCATACTTATAGATTCATGAATAGTAAGGTCTTATGGAACATATATTGCATTTCATACCCACCATCCTTGCAACATAACATTACACTCGTTGCATATACATTCATGGTTGA